TATTAAGATTAAAAAATTTTAATATTAAAAGCATAAAATTAAATAATAAATTTAATATAATTAAATTTAGATTATTTACTATTAAAGAAAAACTTATAAATAATAATTATAAACTCTAGCTACTAGTAAGAATATAAATATATCTAATATTTTATATCTTATTATTAAAACTAATCACTAATCCAATAAATAAAGATAAAGCAGTAGATAATAAAGAATATAAAGTTAAAAGAATACTATAATATAAGTTAGAAAAAGAATACATCTACTACCTTATAAGATAGAAAGGATATAGACCTAAAAAAAACATATAGGAATCTATTAAATATTTAAATTACCCTAAGAAAATTTAGAAATAGAGATAGAAGTATAATTAAGAAAGATAAAAAGATCAAAATTAGTACTAAAAATAAGATTATTATTTTGCAAAGTAAAAGTAGCAGCTAGAAGCTTTTTAATCTTTTATTATTCTTTTACTTATTTTACTTTCACCTCTTCTTTCACTTTTTCTAATTTCTTCAACTCTTTAACATCTTTTATATTCTTTTAAAGAAATTCTCCAGCCTATTTCTTTAATAGTTTTTGCTATTTCTATAAATAAAAAATCTTAGCTAGGACTTATTCTTTTTCTTCTTAAAAATACTCTTAAGCCTTAAAAAGGCGCTTCTATACCACTTTAGACACAGGTATATTAATATAACAATAATTATTTACACAAATATATTTATTATAATATTTAGAGAACTTTACTTTAATATAAGTCTTTCCTAGATCACTATATTAATTATATAAAAAATAATAAGTAATATCAAATTATTTAATATATAAGAGAAGAGAATTCCTTAAAATTATTTTCTTTAAAAATATAATTAATATAAAACTATAAAATCATATATTTGAAATATTTAAGAAATTAAGATTAATTACTTATACTTTAAAAGACACAAGCTATTTATTAAGCTGTCAAGACATCAGCCTTTAAAGAAGGGGATTATTAGAGAATCAGAATATTATAGCCAATAGATTAGGTTAATCACTATAAGACTAATATATATCAGAATAAAGGATTATCTATAAAGCCTTAGGGTTAAAGTATCAGAGAAATTAAAAGATTTCTATGATAGCTATAATCTATGAATTAAAGAAATTAGAGAATTTCTATGAAGATTATAATAGAGGAAAGCTATATAAGGATATTTATTTACTATATATTTAGTTTTCTTCTATTATCTTAAATTAATTATAATAACTTAAATATATAATCTTCTATTAATTAGGATATTTATAGCCTTATTCTTATTTCTTTCGTCTACCAAGACCTTTCAACCTTAGAAGCCTATTAACTTCGCCCATTAATAGCTATCCTAGCTATACTCGACGGTAATCTAACCGAAGTTTCCGACATTTAGATTATAATTTTTTAATATTATATTTCTATAGCTTTAATTACTCTAGCTTTAAACTTAATAAATTTATTTATTATTATTATTATAAGATCTTTCTCTAAATATTTTATTAATGACTTTAATAGAATTATAAATATTAGAATCTTATTCTGAGTTTCTATAACTACTAGCTTTATAATTATAATCTTAATATTTATCTTACCAATTATTATTAAAGATATATTAATCTTGCTTTTCTCTTTATTATTTAACTCTATCTCTATAATTCTTGCTTCTTCTTTCTTTATTAAAATCTCTTTAATATCTAAAAGATATTTAACTAGAAATAATAATTTCTTAGAGGCTTATTTCTAGGTATATAAAGAGATATGTTTTAGAGCTATTTTAAATAATAATTACTAGGTCCTTATAAAATAAGTAATTAAACTGTAATAAGGTTTATAAAAATATAGCTGGGATTTAACTTTAGCCTAGAAATAAATTTAAATATATAATATATATATATATATACTTAGTAGCTAATCACTATTTTATAAAGGCCTAAGGCCATCTACAGTTATAAGATGATATATGCTAAGCTGCTAGTCCAATTAGTGGCGGGAAGCCAGGCAAGATCACGTGCCCGCTGTACTTTAAAGCTATTCCCAACTCCATCCAGGATTCCGCCTTACAAGTCTACTAATATTTATACTATAAGATAATCAACTTTTAGAAATCTATTAAATTAGATTAAAATAATTCATATTATTAGATTTTCCTCAGTGTGATAGTAATACTTAAATAAATTAACTTCTCCCCTATTATTCACTTGTTCTAACACACTTACCAAATATGACGTCTCTTCAGTTTAGTCAGCGGGAAATAGCACTAACGTAATCGGACACCGAGCCGGCACTGACATCGAGCCGGCACTTCCGCCCGAGAACGCGTTCCATAACAATTCCATATATTTCAACGCGTCAATATGCCACCAATTCGCAATAAAAATCATAAAAGTTCTCAGGAACAAGAAGGCCGAATCTTACTGGCCATTTCCGATTTACAGAATAAAAAAATTCCCAATATTGGATGAGCAGCAAAGATTTATAATGTTCCTTGAATAACTCTGCAAGATCGACTAAAAGGCACTTAACAAAGGTCTTAAACACGTGCCAATGATCATAAATTGACTGAATTTGAAGAGGATTCGCTTGTCAAATAGATATTAAATCTAGATAAGCGAGGATTACCTCCCCAACCATCTATAATACAAGATATAGCTAATATTTTGCTTTCTCAACATAGCAATCAAGAGATTAGCGAGAGATGGATATATTGATTTATTCAACGTCGCCTAGAGCTTGAATCATGATTTTCTTGAAGATATAATTATGAATGTGCTAAATACGAAGATCTAAAGATAATTTAAGAATATTTTAACTATGTATGAGAGGCTATATTGGAATATAGTATCTTACTAGAAGATATTTATAACTTTGATGAGACTGGCTTTGCTATAGGACTCTATGCAACTGTAAAGATTATTACTGAAAGTAATTAATATAATAGATCACATCTATTATAGTCTGGTAATTAAGAATAAATAACTATAATTAAGACAGTCAATTCCACTAGATAGGCTTTACCTTTATATATGATTTTTAAAGTAATAAAATATTCTTAAAAAGGCTGATTTAAGACTCTTCTAATTAATTAGAAAATTAATATTAGTAATAATAGATGGATAACTAACAAGATTAGTATAGATTAATTTTAAAATCACTTTATTTCTTATACAAATAGCTGTGTAATAAGATAATATTGAATACTAATTCTTAATAGCTATGAAAGCCATTTAACTATAGAATTTGATTATATATACATTAAGAATAATATTATTCCAGTTTATATGCCTTTATATTCCTCTTATCTCTTATAGTCTCTTAATATTAGCTATTTTATAGTTATAAAATAGAAATATAGATAGCTTATTAAACAGCAGATAAGGCTTAGATTTAATTATATTAATAAAATTAACTTTCTTACTGCATTTCTAAAGGCCTATATAATAGTATATAAAGCTAAGACTATTTAGAATGGCTTTATAATAACTAAATTAATGCTATATAATCTAGATTAAGTCTATTAATAGCTTACTATCTAGCTTAAGACTCCTACCCCCTCTCTAAGTTAATTAAGTAATACTTAATTATCCTATTTATAAATATCTTAAAATCTATATCAATTTAAATACTAATTAAGTACTATTAAGAAGCGTATAAGCCAGTATATAGAAAGTCTATTAGATTTAATTAATAAGATAATTGACTAGATATCTAAAGTATATAAGATAACTATGAATAGCCTTATACTTCTAGGAAAAGAAGTTTATAATTTATAAGCTACATATAAGAAGAAGAAACAAAAATATAGACAATCTAAAAAGCAAATATCTTATAAGTAAGAAATTACCAGAGAAGAAGCTTAGGCGCTTATATAAAGTTAGATTGAGGCATCTCAAAGTGTTACTACTGCTCTGGCTGAGCCTGAGCTGCCAGCCTCACAAGCACTCGTACGCCGCCAATTTCGGTGTAGTGAGTGTAATATTCTCGGGCATAGAAGGCCTCAATGCCCTAATCGTACTAATAATTAATTTTTTGTATATAATTATTGTTTTGGTTTAGAAATTGAGGTTTGAAATCAATATAGAGCGCGTTCTCGGGCGGAAGTGCCGGCTCGATGTCAGTGCCGGCTCGGTGTCCGATTACGTTAGTAAATTAAAGATATCTGAAATTTCAAGGCGTTGCTAAGGTCAATCTTGATAAGATTTACTTTGATTCCCAGTCCAACCGACAGCTCAACCGAAAAAACGTGGAGTGTCTGTGCAAGATTTTCCGGGAAGAAGGCTGTCAACACCTGGCCGTAGAGCATCGCATACCAGCGTTCCCAACTAAACTCTATACCTCGTGCAATTGACAATCAAACCTCTTGTTGATAATATTATTGTCCCAACCGGCTAGCTGAGGGTAGCCAGATGTCTGGAGTATTGAAAAGAGACCCGAAATGAGAACCCGTGGATTGACTTGCGTAACTATATGTTGTCTATTTTGAGTCCTCTCTCCTTGAACACTTAATAAATACCTACCGTCTACGTACATATGTCATATACCCGATTTCTGTTACTTACCAACGGTATCATTGATTAATGTTGCGACGTTGATCATCTGCATCAGTTAAGAAGAAATAGAATTCCCTACATTTGTTCAATGGTTGCATATAGTAGATAGACTTCATGAAACCCTTCAATTGATGTCCGTTGTCTACCATGTACAGTTACGAGGTCTATTTCCGTGGTCTTACAACAGGATGTTAGTCTAGCTATAGAAGCCTTTTCCGTTCCTGCTGAAGCAATAAATATCTGAAATGGTAATACACAAGCAATTGTTGGAAGATTTGTGGTGTCTAGTGGTGTTCGACACCCAGACGTTTTATGTTGGGACATATTGTCCCACTCCCTCACTCAGCATTCCATATTATCCTCGTTGGTAGCTATATATTACCATACTAGATCATCTAGTATACGTGTTGCTTTTTGGTCTAGTTGGTTCCAACATTTTATACAAGTGCAATACCATATGCGCCCCAAGCTCCCGTAGAACTGATAGCGTAACACTTATCCGAGGTCACTTCCACTATCACATTCGCCGAGTCACAATACTCTCCATCATAAACCGTGACTGAATAAACAGAGTCGTCGAAGATGGCCTCGAATCCATATGTTTCTGCTTCGTAGCTAACACAATTGGCCGAATCGAAGGTCTCTTCTTCTCGATTGCCACTGCAGTCGCTATTGATGTACAAGTACGTATCGACCGAAGAGTTTGAGCCGACGGTAGTTGTAGGAGCGCTACTCGTCGTACTCATGGTTGTACTTTTTAGCGTGCTAGATGTTGTCGCTGTTGGCGTAATAGTGATCGTGTAACCAGACCAGCGCGTGGCATCCCAGATACTGCGCTGGCTGATAATGCTTGCAGAAATAGAATCCAAAACGGAGGCTGCCTCTGTTGGCTGGGAAATAAACATGAAGCTGTTGGTGATGGTAGAATACGTTCCGGTTGTACTGACGGTGGTTGTCGTGGTAGATGGAGTGACCGAGCACCCTTCAGTGGTATAACATTCGGTCTAGTAGTGTGAGCAACTTGGGATGTGCAATTGGTTGCGGGAACAACTTACTGTTGTGGTAACAGATGAAGAAGCCATTCCGGACGTAGAATAGCTCTTCACAAACACAGTGCAGATATCGGCCATCTCCATCGAGCTGCAATCATCATTCGTGTTATCAGTGCCAATGGAGCCAGTGCTTCCACCGCCACCACCGCCGCCCTCAATGACACAGGGACCTTGATGGGTTCATGTTAATACGAATCAAGACCAATAAACCGTGACACAAGTTCGATCGCTTACCATCACCACAGCCGGGGCCGCAATATTCTAAACCGCAACCTCCGCCGCACCACCAAAGACCACATCCTCCATCACAACCGAAAAGCCCACACTTGCCATCACAGCCGAATAGCTCGCAATTGAGTTCGCCGCAACCTTGACAATTACCATCACTTGAGGAAGAGTCCGTGGGCGGGGCAATGACAACATTGATTGGAGGGATGGTAATTGAGGGTTCCGCATCCGCAACGGTAGGCTGCGGCTGGATAGTAATAGGGTGCGATGTGCTAGGAAATATGGGAACAATAGTTGTTTCTGTTGAGGTTGGTTGTCCCCCGGATCCTGAAGAAGTCGATGCAAGGCTTCCGTGGCCGATACAATAGTAATAATCGAGCCACACGCCACTGGAACAACCAGTGCCGACGTCAGGGTTCCAAGCTTCAAAGTCCGAAGCAGCAATGTTGTAGGCAGTTTCAATACTCCAGCATGAGTCTCCGCTCTGAACTAGGTAGAACTGAGTACAACCAGCTGTCATGTCTGCCGCAATAGGCGATGGGGTCACGACAGCGGACACAGTCGAAGTCGAGCTGGTAGTTGTAGAGGGGGGAGAGGTAATAGTACCCGTAGCTGCGGGTGTCCCTGTCATTTGATTCTCTGCAACCACAGTATAATTGACTGTGATCTGGGGAAATGGAGTGATCGTTCCCGGCAGATTCCACACAATGGATGGCGGTGTAACGCTTGGTACCGGGCTCAGGACACCAGATGTTTGATTATTGGCAATGGTCACCGGCCAGAACGGAACGGCAGACAATGGGAATGCAGGAACCGGTATCGTAGTGGTCGTTGTAGTCACGCCTCCATTGGCACTGACGAGCAACGTAGTGGTGATTGGTGGCCAGCTGACAGTCGTCGTGGTTGTCAGTGGGAAAGGCGGCAAGATGAGTGTACATGGTGCCTGGCAGGAAACTTCGGGAGAACCACTGTCCCAAATTTCAGGTAAAACATATACCTTTCCACTTCCTCCAGCCGGGAAGAGATCAGTAGAATTGGAAATAGCGTCTTCGAGAGAGTCAGCCATTGAAGCGAAGTTTGGGGAAGGGCCAAAAAATTATCATACCGGAAAGATCCCCTGTGTGATCCTCGTCAATAGCCCATGCGAAAACACTACGATCAAAAAATTGGAGTATTAGCAGATGGCTTTCGGAAGGTCTTTGTTCTGTACAATAGCTTACCCTCCCATGCACACTGAATTGGCAAAATCTAACTTCATTTGAAGAGTTTCAGCGTCATCATAAGCGACCCATTGATCCTCATCATAGACAGCGATTTTAACAGCTGCAGCAGAATCAAGCCACACCGTTGGGTTTCTTGACGGATCATCAATGATGTCCATGATCTCATCATAAGAAAGCATTCCCTCTGTGCGAGAACATGGACCCGCATTTGCTAATGCATTGTCAGTTCTCCATCTCTACAAGCAAGAATAGATGTTGGTTTGAACAGTCCCTAGATGAGTTGAACATACCTCCGGATGTAAATGGGCATCCAGGCGCCGTACACGAAGGGTCTTCCAGTGTGTAACCTAATGACATAAGAAAGTCTTCAAAAGATGAAATTGTAGAATGGAATACATACTACGCCCGTAATAACCAAGACCAAGGTTCACTTGGCTGGGCGGGATGTTATTATGCCACAACAACTGTAACCCTGATTCAATCATGGTAAGATTGGTACTGGCATAGACATAGCTCCCGATCGAGGAAATTGTAGCGTCCCAAGTGCCATATATATCATAGGACATGAAATTAAACTAGATCCGATTAGAATGAACCGTTTCATTGATTGAAAATTCACACTCACCCAATCAATCGTTTTGGCAATATTGACGATATCGAAGTACTGAAGATACCAGTACGAGCTCGGTAGGGTGATTGACAACCCGTAATAGTCTCCAAGAGTGGAGCGTACATTCTGTAGAAACGAAACAAAATTGGCGTAGTCGGCATCAGTTCCGAACCGCTCTGGTGCACCTGGATATTCCCTAAAGACAAGTCAGTAGAGCAGTAGAATAAAACCCTTCAGTTTTAGGATTGGATAAATACCAATCAAAGTCGACGCCGTCAAATCCATACGTTCCTAGAAACGAAACGAGAGAGTCGAGGAAAGCTTTTTGAGCAGTAGAAGATGCGGCAAGATCAGAAAAGACATTGGAATATTCTCCTGGGTCGTTCATTGCCCATCCACCAATAGTGATCCACGTTTCGACACCATACTGCTTGAGAGCAGTGAAGCGAGCGTAGAGATCCGTTTGGTTGGATTCCATTGGTGTCAACTCATAGGTATCTGGGTCAATGTATAGGAAGGAAAAGATCAAGTGTGTGTATCCTCCAACAGGGATCTAGAATATTCATTAGCAATGATTATGTCTGTGTGATATGGGTTCAGTTTACTTCTTCTGGGGTCATCGCTGTGCAGAAATCATTAGCACAGAAGAATTCAAGGAACTGGAGACAAACTTACTATTGCAAGGATTATCCAGATTGAAGCCTTCGTAGTAGCCGATTCGCCGTGTGACAGACGAGTTACCAGAGCAAGAAGGAGAGGGCCAAGTTGTACTTCCGCAGAAATCAGACGTCGTCCCACCTATTCGATGAAATGAATCTTGCTGTCTCGTTCAGAACAAAACAATAATTAAGTACTTACAATATCCATATTGGCTGCAGCAAACGTTCAGTGGGCAAGATTGTGCAGACGAGTAGTTGGACGCTTTCAAAAGGAAGTCAGCAAGCAACATCAATTAGAAAATTAATGGCTATATATTCGTAGTACAAGGCAATTCATACCCCAAGTCTCACCCCAGCCGGGATATACACCAGGATTACATTCAGCCAACTGTGCACATGTGCCATTTGTGCTGGCGGCTGCAATACAAGTGCTGCCACAGTAGTCTGGGCCATATCCACAAACCTGGGATACACTTGAGCAGCAACCTTCAGTGCATGGATTATCCTCTGAGCAGGTCCCATCTTGTGCTTGGACTCTTGCAAGCAGCAGTACTAGCTGAAAAACTGTTGCCAGCATCCGAGCAGGCTTCATTGGAAAAATCTCACTACAGAGAGAAAAGCAGGAAAATGGAAGATAAGTAAATGAAGGTATGTATATTGAATAGAAAAGGCTCTGCAAGGATGCTAAAATATCTGGAAAGGTTTTCCCCTTTTAATAACATTCATCATTCACGATACAGGCTCTTTCTTTCCTACACGTATCTGTACGTATTGATAGAGGTCGTAGTCCGTATACATACCATCAACTCCAATGCTTAAGTAAAGCTCAACACTACAAACTTCACTCTTGTGGGTCTCACCTCATATATTGTAAAACAAGCATACCAGTGATACCACACAGGAAGGTGATCAAACATTGAGAAATTTTCCCTCGTGGAGGTTGCATTCTCATCGGAGCTTTCACTTTTTCTGTGCAAGTGGTTTGCAAAACCTCTACAGAATGGTATTGAGGCTTTTCGTACCCATCTTGACAAGCCAATTGGAGAGCAAGGTAGACAAATCAGAAAAGTAGCCACCATATAGTCGTATTTGTGTCGCCGGAGGGCGTAGTACTGGGTTCGATTGGGTGATGTTGTGCGCTAGGGCTTTTCTCAAGTTTGAGAGGATGAAAATTAATCTCCGTTGAAGCATTACGCGAAGAGATTTGTTGTGGAGATATTCTGCAGGACAGCCGGAAAATTCTCACACACCTATTTTTTTTTTGACTGACCTATGTCCACACAACAACCTAGGTGTATCCAGAAATGGTTGAATGGTCCAATACTATCCAGCCTGTTAGTAACCTATATACTACTCCGATTGCGAAATCCTTGACAGCAGAATGGTCTTTTAGGACTAAGGCTTCAAGCTAGTGCAGGGGCTAGTCCGGAGGTTGTTAAGACTGCTAGTTAAGCGATTGAGAATTTGAGATTCTAGTAGTAAGCAGTGGGTACTGCAAAGTAGTATCAAGTAATAAAATAGACTTATATGATTGACTTTATCCTAGCGTATATTTAACACTCCGTACTAATTTCGGTGAATGCAGTTTTCGCAAAACAGTCACTCGGAAAGATCATTTAAGGCCAGTGCCACTAAATGGCATGCGGCGCAGCGGGTAAATTGATTCCCGGTGAAGTATCGGTTCCAGCATTCGGCTGGAAAAATATGATTCCAGAAACATCCGGAAACTTACTCTTCTGGTGTATCATATCGCTTTGCTAATTCAATCAATCGATGCAGTCATTCGTACTGATTGACTGTAAGAGATGTCGAATCTTGAATGGGCTTGGCGATGAAAGTCCGGCAAGTCCCGCCAGCGGGCCGCCCGGCGCACGGGCATAGTTCAGGTCTAATTGATTTAGGCAGGTTACAATGATCCCCGATTGTTGCTAAGGAAGAAAAGGAACACGATCAGGAACGCGTTCCAGCAAAGGCAAGGTTCGGGAGTCGGGAACCAAGTGCAATCTTGTTAAGTGAGTTTACTAACGTCTTAACATGATGCACGTGCTGTGCATCAGGGTATACCGTACCATACTAGTAGTGGTACGGACTCCACTCCGGGCAGTTTGCTCGACGAGTAGAGTCAGTAGACACTATACAATGCAATTTCGCAAGTTGCGGTAGACCTCATTTCGTGGAAGCCATGGCGTTGCTACTCCATGCTCTAGTACCCAATAATGGAGCCAAGTCAGACTATATCTCCGGAGGTAGCACTATTTAGATATCATCCACAAAAATTTAGGTCTTAGTGGTATGCAACGATTGTGTATCGTCCTGATCGTCTAAAATACACGATCATAAATGCAGATTCAATGGTGTTGATATAGAAGAAGGAGCTTTCTACTTCGCCAGTCCCGGATAACAGCACCACCACGTATTTGCCTATAGCTATAGGAAATGAAAGTCGCTGCTCTCTTTCAACTATTTTGGGCTGCAGCAACCATCAACTTTGGGTTGGTGATTGCTGCTCCCAGAGGCCCATTGCACAATGGTCTCAGCAAAAGAACAACAACATACTTCTGTGATAGTACTGCAGAAGAAGTCATAACATACTCACTGGGCGAAATGATAGAGATGGTATATGTTTTATCCTCTGAATGACTCGTGATTATGCTTGCGATTGCATCTGCTAACGAACATCATTCGACTAGTTGACAACTGCCATTGATCGCACATTAAACCTGATGGCGTTCCTCGCCGATCCACCGATTCATATCAATCAACAGGGACAATTGCTACAGTCCACGTTCTATACTTTCGAATCGATATTTGGAAAACTGGAATACGGTGCAGGAAGTAGCGAAAACTCCGACGCGATTAGCAGAGTACAAACGCTTATAAGTCTGGTCCCCAGCCGAACCACTGCAAACTATGGTTTCTAACTAAGCATTCTTAGCTCTTGCTGAGACTATGCGGAGCTCGGTGCAGGGGATACTTTCAAACCAGTATTTCGAGATCTATTGTAGTGATGCCTGGCTTATCAGTGAGGATAGGGATGGTGACATAAGCTGTAAGAATACCCTATGCGCCAAAACATTCTGTCTTTATCGAAACTAGTCTACTGATCAATCATGACTTTCTAGTAATCAATCCCTATCTTTATTGGGATAATCGAGTGACCCGGACAACGTCTCTTGGTATTGATTTTTCGACGTCACAAGGAATCTGTAGAGACGATGCAGCTTTCTATGCGTGGGTGAACCCTGCCATGTCTTCAAGCCAGGCTCCAGGAGGACAAACGAGTGTGATGACTCTGTGCCAAAACGCACTTTCGGGCTGGGTATCAAATTACCAAGCTCAAAATACCATGAAAGTCGCTGCTCAACAAACGTATCCAGATAAAGTTTCCTTGGAAATCTTTCAGGGTCTGACTTTGACCACGGCTCTTTTGCACGAATTCACTCATGCCCCAGCCATAGTGGGCCCAAACTATCTAAGTATATCTTCCTCCATCCTTCTTTGGGATTCTACCTTGAGATATTTGCTTATTGTAGATGAAAATAACAGTTGATGAGTCATGTAACGATAATGGACAAATAAAATCGGCGTACGGTTGGTTCTGCGTAGCGCAACTCGCGGCAACACCCAGCAAAGCCCTAAACAATGCAGGTATGATATGACCAAGAACTTGAGTCTATTCTTCCCTAATGCCTTGAAGGATTTGTGCTAATTTTTTTCCCCCTTAGATTCGTTTTCTTTCTACATTACTGGTAAGAAGCTCACCCTGTTTTGATTTCGCTCGGTCTGGGTACACTGACATTCAAGAATAGCCATGTATTTGTCATTGAGCGATTGGTCCACTGGTTCTTCTGTCACAATACCACCTGATACCACCCCTGCCGATGAGGATGGCCTGGCGAGCATGATGTCGAAACTCACACTTGACTGACGACGCTTGCTTGCCATAAGATACTCCACGTTCGTCCAGATATTTCTAGTGAGAAATGGATAAGAAGTCGGGAAGTAACATCATCGGCCCAGTCGTTGAATTCGAATTCAATGTTCTTCTGGTCAATAAAGGTCACTTAGAAAGAAGCAGATATAAGCTCCATAAGCCTGTTTTCTTGTTTACCAAGTAACTTGTATCAAGTTAAATACAATCTCATTAGTTGCTTGCTGGCTGTTATTGGTCAAATCTAGGATAACATGTAATAGACGTGGTTATTGGAGGTTGGGGTACAGCCATCATTTGATGTATTAACTTCCAGGACGTCAGACAAACCCATTCAAATGACACTTGAAGGACAGTAGAGTTCCAACGAGCTTTTAAGAGCATTGCCAGTATGTGTCAAAGTCTGATAGGAAATAAACAAACATCAAAACTTGAAATTATACGGGCTGTGCAATCGTAGCTGGTCATGGTGGTTGCACGTGATGTGGCGCGGGGCGTCTGGTTTTTTTACGCTTCATTTCCCCAACGCATTGGTAAACTTCTGAGTCTGCATACTCTTCAGAACGCCAGGTCACCAAAATTATAGCTTAACGAGGATCTATTCAACCATCGGGTATTTACAACATCTTGAATATCGACATGATCATCGGACGTGTGGATGGCACACCCCATCTAAATAGGATCTCGTTTTTCACGAGAGATGTGGACCAGCTGCCGGCGAACCCCGTCCTTAGTATTATGCATTTCACTTTCCAGTCCGGAGTCGACATCGCAGATCAATCGCATCTAGCATCTATACCCTGGAGAAAGTCGTTGAAGTACGTCTCAACAATTCCAGGATTCCAAGGGCTGTATTGGGCTCCAGTGGATCAACCTTCGTCATGCCAGCAAATAATCGTTTTGATCCAGTGGGATAGTGGTCGTGGCTGGAGATGTTTTCAACGCTCTTTAGGCTTCAGTATGATGCTTGGTTACATTGAAAACATTTCTAATCGATGCATTCAGCTTGCTCTTCCTGTCGACAGCTTATTCACATCTCAGAGTTGTCTTGAGCTTGTATCCTTTCAGTTCTCCGAGGCGCCGTCTACGGATCAGATTGCTGGGTTGAGGTCCAAATGGAACGATATATTCTCCTCATATCTCAGCAATGCTTTAGTCGAGTCCAGGCTGATTCATTTTTGTGGAGAGTGGCTTGAAGTGGACAAAGATTCCGAAGATCGGTTTTTTGTTGGTTTGCTCTTCTGGAAACATTGTCAGGCAAATAACAACCAGGATCGAATTCAGCCAAGTGATCCTCAGAATCTCGAAAAGAATATCGAGGAGATTCGAAAAGATGCAACAAACGTGGTATCAGCTTCCACCACTCCACTGAATCATATACCTTTCAAAATCTCTACTCTTCAATCATTAGGTCGTCAACCACTATCTGTGCCAGAAATAGAGCATCCACTTTTTCAAACGCCTACAGAGCCTGAGTACAATCTGGATGAATTTGTGTTATCAAGTGGTCAGGACCGGCTTCATGTGGAATCTATGATAGAAGCGAGACGAGGGGAGCGTATTGCCGGTGGACCCGCTGGTACGTGGCTTGAGATGGGATTGCTTTCTCAGCATCATTTACCGCAAAGGCTAGAGTATAATGCGAGCCCTAATATGGAAATGATATCTTTTCGCGCCCCAATCGGGGATCCACAGGTCGAAAGTTCATTTGAGCATCTTCGAAAGGAACTCTGGGGCTTGGGAAACTGTCCTGATCTATTCTGGGGTAGAGACAAAGAAATGGAAGATGGACAGAGCAATACAAACCTACTGTTTATACGTACGTTACACCATCCTTGGTGCTGAAATATTGATATAATAACATTGCCACTTTTGCAGAGATCGAAGAATCAAAATATCCAAGGCCAGAATTTCAAGCACGAGTCCAAAAGTCCTTTCAAAGCTTCGCAGATAGGTGTGGTAAGGCTTTACAGGACATATCTTACAGAAGTATCGTTAGTCCAATTCGATGGGGTGTTCATCAGAATATGGACATTACCATTTTTGATGTCTCAAAAAATGAGTGGGACCAGCGATCATTTGAAATTGCTTTTTCTAATTTCCGGGAGTATGTTGACAACTTCTCATTGCAGACGGAAAGGTTAGAGACTCACAGGCTGATATTCAATTGCGCAGAACCACGGCTCAACATCAAATTCAACGACAGCCTTATGGACCTTATAACGCTTTCATGCCGAAAGGTCAAGGATGGGTCGTTCGCCATCAAGATTCTTCATTTGACATCCACGAACCCGAGACAGTGCGACAATTTATGTCCTATTTCAACTGCGAGAAGGAAGAAGGTGCTCGAAAAGAGTGGTACGGCGACTTTGCTCAACGAGCCCAGACCGAATATGAACTCTTAGGTCATATTGTGGATTGTATACGGACTGTGTGCACTCGCATAACTTCACATTACCTAGTTATGGAAAAAGAAGATGACTGGATGATTGCGGACAAGTTGAAAAGGGAGGAGGAAAAAGCCAACAAGCCGCCTTCGCCAGCGCCTAAGTCTATCTTCGATCTTTCATGGGCAAAACCGCCGAAGAAGCCTGACATATCATTTCACGTCAGATAATGTAGATTAGATACCATTATGGTCCAGCTTATAATAGAGGCATCAGCCAATAGGCACTTGAATGGTACAGATTAGTAACTCATAATCCAGACTCAGAGGCTCCATGCGGAAGGATAAAATCATTTTCCGATTATATTCCTAGATTAATGGGTTCTATGCCATCTTATAATACTGTGGTCAGCTATACACCCGACTGTGAGGTTTATTGCAACCTACTGCAAGGGACTTATTGATTGACGGGCATTGTTTGTATTGTAGGGAAGAGATACATGCATATGACCTGGACGTCTTAATAAAAAGCTGAAAATACCAGAACTACGACTCCTGCTATCTAATCCACACAGCCGTATCCTCGCAAGGACTTTGAGCTCATGATAGGCTTTGCAAAAGATGAATGGCAGTCCTTATGCGGCCACTCTCCCACCTTTCTGCATGGAAGTGAATATGACGCTCGCTCTATTCTCGAGCACGTCTTTGGAAGCAAAGAAACACAATACAAGAGTCTATATCCAATGCATATAACCGCGCAACTCCTCAATGATATTATGTCTATGCAAATGTCCAAATTCCATTCTTTGGATATTGCGTCCAATCTTGCTAAATAGGGCTTGTCGTGCTACGTAATTCAGTTTCCTCTCGATCTGCCTACGGGTGGAGGTGCGATTCATACGGGTGATATGCCCTTCATATTCCGCAACTTCACTGTTTGGGACATGGAGAAGCGGTCTGCTTTTGAAGACACTGATGTTGTTCTAGTGGCCTGACTTGCACCGGTCTTTGGAGACATGTACGGGTCATTCATTCGTCAGGGGAAGGTAGAAGAATCGACCCGATGGCCGATGTTTGACGACGAGACGCAGACCGTGTTGTGGTTTGGAGAGAGCATTGAGCCGCGGCACAATCTGTTGAGAAGTGAAATGGAGATATTTCGGAATGCAGGTATTTTTGATCATGCTACACTACTGGCACGGCTGCAGTAGAATATATGCTATCATCTTGGTCAGTTGTTGGCAATGAATGGTGTTCCTCTTTTGTATTGACTGAAGATCCTGTACAGCTTGCTGATAGGAAGCAATGACATACACGACGCACAAAATCAAACAATGAAGCAAATAGATTTGTCTAGTATTAAAATGGCAGTAACATAGGTAAATATTATCTACATTAATCTCAAGCAAACGCCGTTAAAAATCGCCGATGCTAGTGACCTTGAGACTGCCCTAAGTTATACTAAATAAATAATAGCGAGATGAGTAATACTAGTGGTCCTAATAGCTGTGTTAATAACGTCGCTCTTTTCCTCCTTAGAATCTAATTATTGATTATCTGCTCACTCATAATCTTTCCTCTAGCTAAGCATATTAGTATTCTAGTCCCTAGATGTTACGGGCTAGTCCCGCCTAATGCTCACTATAAGGGCTTACTCGAATTGAAATCACAACAATGAGGAAAGAAAGAGAAAAAGAAGCTACAAGTTTCGGGGGCGTATACAGGCTTATATGGGCAAGGGGAAATAGGGGCTTCGGCAGGTGTTGCCTGGCAACGGGGCAGAAGCAAGCGCGTAGACGTAGGCACGGAGCGTAGGTGTAGGCACCGAGCAGGTACCGGTTCGATGAGGTGATTCATTGAAGCGATCATAATACTACCGGGCGGTGAGGGCTTTATAAGGCGATCAATAAAGCGATAGTGAGGGCTTTGCCCGAATACCCTTCATGAGGTCAGCTCATAACATTACCCCCCTCCTCCCTTTGTGCGCTTTCCCAAACATCGAGCGCGACGGTGTCTTCCAGATTCCGTGCCGGTTCCCAGCCTCGTTGCTCGTATCCTAACCATTTCACCAAGTATTGGCGTTGCTTGCCACGCCCTCGCTTAACAGTACGTTCACCCTCAATCCTTTCTACCACGTACTCCGTCTCCATCGATCAGCTGACCCGGAGGCTGGTAATCAGACACCTCCTGCGACGGGAATGGGTTCTCAGATGCGGGTCGTAGCAAAGCTGTATGGAACACGTTGTGTATATTCCCAGGGACATCTAACCGATAAGCATGCGTGCCAATCTTTTCCAATACCGTAAACTTCGCATGTTTATAGTCCAGCTTCTTAGACGGCCGGTCCGTACGAATATTGCGTAAATCAAGCCACACCTTATCTCCTACTCGGTAGGTGTAGGCTGCGTCACGGTGCCGGTTTGCGGACTCCTCCATGCGTTGTTGTGCTGCTGCCATTTCGGTCTGTGCCAGGTCTGCTGCTTGTGCCAACTTCTCAATAATATCTTTTGCAATATCCCGTTCCTTACGGCGTGTTGTTGGTTCGTGGGAGGCATCCCGTAGATCCGTAACCTCCAAGTCATATCCGTGTGTAAGGAAGAAGGGACTCATTCCGGTGGTCGATGATATCCGGTTGTTAATTGCTATCTCAGCCATCGGGAGCAAACTGCTCCAATCGTTCTGGAAATAGTTACAGTGCTTTCGTAGATAGTCCTCAACAAGAGCATTCATTCGCTCGGTCTGACCATCGGTCTGTGGGTGCCATGCAGTCGATAGATGCCGTTCAGTCTTCGCACTCCGGCATACGTAGCTCCATATCTCACTTACAAACTGCGTGCCTCGGTCTGAGATAATGCTTTGTGGGGAATCCATGGCGAGCAATAAAGAATCGTAGGAACTCGCGCGCAACCGTCTCGGCGCCGAGATCCTTCAGTGGAACTAGGATAACACCTTTGCTCAGTCTATCCACTATAACCATAAGATGGCAGTAACCGTCACTAACTGGCAGCTTATCAATAAAGTCGATGCTGATCTCCCGCCAAATCCGTTCTGGGACTGGGAGTGGCTTCAAAAGTCCTTGTCTCCGTTCTCTCCAGATCGTATTCGCACCGCACTTGCTACAGTTACTCGTGAATCGCCGGACGTCATGGCTCATATGTGGCCAGAAGAACATTCTCTTTACAATAGCGCTTGTTCCGTTATGACCAGGGTGTCCTGAGAGCAAAGAGTCGTGGCAACGCTGTATTATCCTTGTCCGGAGTTGCTCCCCACCGTGGGCTCCCTGCTGGACACTGGTATTGCCACGATCTACTCGTCCCATACGGGCTCACGCTGCATAACGGCATACCACGATCCACTCGTTGTGCTGTCGTCCCGCACGGGTTGCCTTGTCGCTTACCACTGTTGAAGTAGGCTGTGAATGAAGGCGATGATATTGTTGTTAGTTAGGTAAAAGTGAGTCAACCCTCATATATACATATGTGTTGAGCCCCACATCCATGTCATGTCATTTCAACTGACTACCACAACTGGGATCTGATTGCGAATAACTAAACGAGGAAATGTTCGGAAGGACCAATCCACGGCAGAGGATGAACAACCACGTTTGAGAGTTCGGGCCCTCCAAACAAAGGGTGATAACGTTTCGGAAAATGAAGCCGGATATCTTTCCGCACAAGTCGAGATTGCTGGAAAAAAACACAAGCCGTCGCATGATCGACAGAAATGGCTTTCAAGTACGGATGCTTCCCTAGATAGGCAAGGACAAGGCTAAGATCACTTTCTCCAAGCCTACATTGTCTGATTGCGACTGAATCTAGTGCTAGAGGAAATGAGAGATGCCAATCAATATTGTAATAGTCCACGCCCAGTCTCGTAAGAGAAGTAAAGTCTTCGAAAGATCGAAACTTCGGAATCTAGTCGTAAGGCTTCCCATCATCATAGTCTTGTATCACAAGCTCTTCTAGGCTGTTATTATAGCGAAGTAAAGCTTCATGAATGTCTCCAACATCCAGATAGAATTTCCCTAGATCGCCGAAAAGGAAGCGCTTAGGACTTGAACAGAGGTATTAGAAATTAGTGAGGCGCTTGCAGCTCTTAATTACCGCACATATACCTTTCGAATCTAAATCACAGTCCTCAAAGAAGATCGTCTGGATTGAAGGAAAAGCCGCAGGTAATTCCAATATTGATTGGTCAAGTCGTAGATTTGTGAGTGACAGCAGGCACAGTTGCGGCAAGTCACCAAGTATTTCCCATATTATTGGGTCACACTCCACTCAGCGCAGTTCTTGTAGGCCTTTCAGGGAAATTTTGCCTTTCTGAATTGAGGTATGTAGCGAAGACAGAAGTTTGTGATGTCCTAGTATCGCTAATTTTCGTAAGCGAGGTGTGAACGATAGAAGTGGAACTGTCAGGCTTCGTAGCGTCCTAATACTTAGGTCACCACACATATCATCGACGATTATTGATCTAACTTGTGGGCGAACTAAAGGATCCTGTTTGATAAATTCCCAGAATCGTCGTAATTCTTCCCGTGTATGTTCTGGTATAGATTTCTTTTAGAAGGCATAGTGGAGATAAGGTAGGGAAGACTTGTATATATGTCGCGAAACGAAACGTGTAGAAATAAGTGCTGGCAGAGGAAGAACCCTCCAAATCAACGACAAAATCTCATTTGGAAGGTCAAGTATTCCCGGCATTGTTGATTAATTCAAGTGGCAGGAACAAGGCAAAATAAGTAGGCGATGTGTTGAATATAAATAGAAGGCAAGGCTGACTCAAAATAAGTCTAAACTAGCTTCCGTAGCTAGACCACATTAGGATTAGTACATGTTTCAAGTCGAGAAAGGAATTACTTGGTCTCGAGCAATCATGTGATATATCCGAAGAGTTCTATCATGCTAACAACGGATTCGGAACGCTGTATTAGCTAGTATTGAGAATACTATATAATCTGCATATCTAACTAAAGAGAACATTCAGGGGGTTACTTGAGGCCATATTTATAATTAGAATAGGGGTCAACTAAGACACATATCCGATGCCTATTCTGGCCAATTAGATGCACCTTTGTGAAATATAATATTGGTTATAGATTACATGCTGTATTCAGAATAGCGGTTATAATCTACTATCACACCCCTTCAGCGTATAATCTAAAATAGGAAAAAATAAAGCAAAAGAAAAAGGCAATATCTAAATGTCTATATAGAAACTTAATATTAAGAAGT